TTATAAACTAACTTTAAATACTTATAAGTTAAAAATCATTTTACTTTTGAAGCCTCTATTATTATTTCTGGATTCTTTTGAATATTCTAGATAAAAATCCTAATACAAAAATGTCGAGGCTACAATAGTTTTTGAATTATAATTCATTAAAGATAGTATGTAATTCGAAAACTATTAGCCTCGATATTTTTATATTAGGATTTTTGTCTCAAAATTACCTCTTAAAAGAATATATTCTTAAGAGGAAATGCAGTAATTGTGAGTATAAAAATACACTATAGAAAATAATACAAGTACAAGGAAAGCACGTACTAAATACATATAATTATCTTGAAGGGCTGGTAATATTTGTACTTTCATATTGGAATGATCTACTGTTGCATTTAGACTATGCGATCTGCCATTGACAGAAGCACTCTTTGCTGAAATATTACAAATAAATAATTTATAAAATGTATGCACATATAACTTTTGGATGAGCATGATTTATCTGATATACTTTTATAAATTTGAAAATATTGATTAAATATTTAGATGTAAGATAAAAGAAACAATAAAATAAATTAAAGAATGTAATATGCAAGGCAAAATACTGATACTAATGGTAGCAGTAAACACACAATAATGTACATACGGTAGCTACAGCACAAGGATGTCAAATGCAAACGGACAAATATATAAAACATACCCCTGAAATACAAAAACATAAGTTTATTTTCAAGCCATGTTGGACATACACGTAATGCAATTTGACGAAACATGATGACAAAAAAATTCAGTGCCTCATTTATTTTGTGCGCACTCTTGTCACTCTTTAGGCCTGTTCTTTTTGGCTGAACTTTGCATCAGTTCATTTTTCTTTTTTTTTTCCTCTTGAAGAGAGAAGGAAGAAATATGAACTGGTGCAAAAGTTCAGCTAAAAAGAACAAGCCTTTTGCTACCTGCCTAATAACGTATAGTAAGTAAAAGGCTTATGCTACTTTGATATACCTTTAAGCCAGAAACACAATTAAAAGTAGAGAGCACAGGAATGCGTTCAGGAATTACATCCAGATGACTCTAAGCTATAAGTTACGTCACGTATATTATAGCAAAAATCATCCTATACTCTGTTCAACGAGAATAAGTGCATCCTGAGAGGTGCATCCAACGAGAAAATAGGTTTGGTCTATATTTTTAGATCTAATAGAATATGCTAATCAGATGCAAGAGCTCACTAATCGCTCAGTGAACAGTCGTGCTTCTGGACTCATTGATCTCGGTTTACGCATAGCAATGTAACGCTATACAATGCTAAGACCTATGCATGAATTTTCGTCCGATCTACAATAAAAGAATGAGGCCGGATTCACCTTACGGAAAAACGGAAAGCGGAAAAGCGGAAAGCGGAAAAGTGGAAAGCGGAAAAGCAGAATCCATTTTTGACTAGAAAAGCTGTGACGAATTGAGACAGTTCAGATACGTAACACAAGAGGATATAATGGTCTGATACCTAACCTAATACTTTAGTACACCGATTTCGTTCACGATCGCCGAGAAGGAAGCACATGTGGATTTTCATTGACAGGATATGCGAAAAGTTTAATTTTGACTTACCTAATTGACATGTTTCTTCTTTCTTTTGTTTAACATTTGATATCTATTCTTAAGATACACGTTGCAAGCCAGGAAGTGTTATCATGTCAATTTTACCGTGCGGTTGAGCTTGAAAAATTGCTTGGGCCACGCTAAGATAAACCTGATTTAAAAAAAAAAAATCGAATTATTTCGACAGTATTGGTGCTTATTCTATTAAATATTATTTATTTTCATATCTCTACTTATATTTATTTATATTATCTACTTATATTTAGTTATATACCATACAACATGAATCTTCAATTTTAAAATGTTCGATGAAAATCTCTGCTTATTCGACAATAATTCATTTATATTGTACAATGTAAAGCTGTTAATGTATCATAAATGTACTAATGTACATTTATTAGTACATTTTCATCGTCTTGTAATGTTTGTAAGATATTAGTTAAACAAATGCAAATGGAAAATACCTATTAAAAACTCATCTTCCACATTTATCTATTTAATTTACAATTTTAGAAAAAATGAGAATAAAGTAAAAAACATGAATTTCATCAATTTTTCGTCCCTTGTTCTCCATCAGGCTTATTGATATATGATATTAAATTCATGTACTAATATTAGGTGTGTAACTTTGCTTTCGCCGTTTTCCTATAGATGGCTTTAGCGGTAAGTGATTGTCGAAATAAATAGATCATAGATGTCATACAATAAACTTGGGCATTTGTCAACATAACCCCATAAAAAAATTAGTCGATTTGTGTCCCATAAAATTATTCTCGATTGAAAATGTCAGTTTACGAGCCAAATTCTCGTCATTTGCGGGAGGTTTTAATTTTTTCAATATGAAGAAATCTGCGGCTGAGGCTCATCGAATGCTCTCAAATACTTATGGTGAGGCTGCTATTAGTGAAAGAACGTGTCGTGAGTAGTTTTAACGCTTCAAGAACGGTGATTTTGACGTCGAAGATAGCATAGCGGTGAAAGAGAGAAGGTTTTCGAAAATGCAGAATTGGAGGCATTACTTGAGCAAGACTCGTGAAGAAAATCAAGAAGAATTGGCACGATCATTGGGAGTGACTCAACAAGCCATTTCAAAACGCCTCAAAGCCATGGGAATGATTCAGAAGCAAGGAAATTGGGTGCCGTACGAATTGAAGCCGAGAGATGTTGAACGGCGTTTGTTTGCTTGTGAACAGCTGCTTGAAAGGCAAAGACGGAAGAGATTTCTGCATCGCATTGTGACTGGGGACGAAAAATGAGTTCATTACGATAATCCCAAGCGCAGAAAATCATGGGGAGTTCCCGGCCATGCTTCCACATCGACGGCCAAACCGAATATTCACGGCTCCAAGGTCATGCTCTGTATTTGGTGGGACCAGCTCGGCATAGTGTATTATGAACTGTTAAAACCGACTGAAACAATCACAGGCGATCGGTATCGAACGCAATTGATGCGTTTGAGCCGAGCATTGAAAGACACACGGCCGCAATACAACGAGAGACACGATAAAGTGATTTTGCAGCATGACAATGCTCGACTCCATGTTGCGAAAGTGGTCAAGACATACTTGGAAACGTTGAAATGGGAAGTCCTACCCCACCCGCCGTATTCTCCAGACGTTGCTCCCTCTGACTATCACTTGTTTCGATCAATGGCACACGGCCTGGCTGACCAGCACTTCCGGTATTATGAAGAAGTAAAAAATTGGATCGATTCGTGGATAGTCTCAAAAGATGACCAGTTTTTTCTACGCTACCCGAAAGATGGGAGAAAGTAGTGGCCTGCGATGGACAATACTTTGAATCATAAATGTATAACCAGTTTTTTATAATAAAGTCTCGAATTTCGGAAAAAAAACGGCGGAAGCAAAGTTGTACACCTAATAAATAATGAAATTATTATGTTTTTACTTACCTTAATTTTACTTCTGTCTTTTGAAATACTCCGGAAAAAAAATGTTTTATATATAATTATATGTAATCATATATAATTATATAAAAAAAAGTATAGAAAAAGTATAGAAATCCTGAAAAATCTCAAAAAATGTTTTACAGAAAAATGTTTCAAATAAAAGTTGTAGGATTTAAAAAGATCTATTCAATAGTCTCATCAGTTTGACCCTGGCTGGCGTCATTGAGATCAAGTCAAAGTCACCTTGAATTTTTTAAATGGAACACACCTTATTTTTTATTTTTATTTATTTCGCGGATTTCCTCCGTGTCCACATCCATTCTTGGAATGCCAACGTTGAATCTTGCAGTTCACTTCATCAGGGCGGGAAGCAGTCTGATACTCAATGAAATGTTGGCATTCCAAGAATGGATCTGGACACGGAGGAAACCCCCGAAATGCATAATCTTTATATAGCACCCGTGAAAGTCTCAAGAATATTTATATATAATTTTTTAAATATATACATATATAATTATATATAAAATATTTTTTCCTAGGGCTTATGAAGCTAAGTGTTATACGCCACCTGCTATTCAACTGCGGAATTTTCTCAGGAAAATCATAGTGATTTTATATGAGTGAAATCACCTATTATTCTTATATTGTGATCCGATCTGAAGTCATTCTCTCGTTGAACGGAGTATATAGAGTTATTTAGGCATAAGAGGCTCTGCATAATAAGAGTATAGAGAATAAGAATTTCAATCTATCAGAAATTGTGCATTTCACAATACATGATTTCTGATAGATTGAAATTCTTATTCTCTGTTCTCTGTTTCTTTTATTGTGCGCAGTCCTTAATTCCTGAACGCAGCCCAGAGGGAGAAAGGCTGAAATCTGGCGCCCTCACTCAGCAGCCAGAGTGTTCTCCGTCCATATTCAAGAGAAAGCCGCGTGTCTTGTCCATTGCATCTTGATGCCTGTCATGTACGACCTGCAGGAGCCAGCTTCTTAGAATTATGTGTAGCCAACGGCGCCGATGTACCTAGCACTGCGAACGTGCACACTCTCTGCCAAGCACCACAGTCACGTGCGATCCCGAAGACGCAAATATAAGGGAACTGATATATATTCTCGTCGCAATTAGAGAAAATCAACTCCTCTCTCATGAGATCTCGACGAAAGGGTTACCTTGGGGAAAATAAGCGTCTTCACGCCCAATCAACGACATCATCTCCGCTTTTTTCTCTTGAGGACACGTGAAACAACGATTCGGAGTCGGGGACAGGCCCGTGGATCATTAGAACAAAAATATTCTTCTGTATGCCTATAATAATGAGCGCTGGTATTATCATCAAATTACTGCTCGATAAGGAAATAGAATAGAATACTTATCCGTATTTCTCGCTGAAAACATCGGATTAGAAATCGTTGGCAGTTCATTGAGCAACAACCGAAGGTTTGCATAAGAATCTCCGACCATTGCACAAACACCACCATCAATATCATCTCGAGATAGAAGCGCATATAGAGTTTCTCGCGCGAGGATCTCGGGCATTTTTTCGCTTATTTTTAGCTTATTCTGTTATTCTTTAGATTATTCCTCCAGCAGTACAGTAAGCACTTGGAAATTTTCGATCTCTGTAGCTCAGTCTCAACTAAGTCTCAACGGGAAACTTAGAATTTTCACGACAGCATAGTCTCAGTACTTATAAAATTCTTATTCACTATACTTATAAATTTCGCGTAACTTACAATTTCTTGTATTAGGTACAACTTTGCTTCCGCCGTTTTTTTTTCCGAAATTCGAGGCTTTATTGTAAAAAACTGGTTATACATTTATGATTCAAAGTATTGTCCATCGCTGGCCACTACTTTCTCCCATCTTTCGAGTAGCGTACGAATCCCGCGTCGAAAAAACTGGTCATCTATTGAGGCTATCCACGAATCGATCCAATTTTTTACTTCTTCATAAGACCGGAAGTGCTGGTCAGCCAGGCCGTGTGCCATTGATCGAAACAAGTGATAGTCAGAGGAAGCAACGTCTGGAGAATACGGCAGGTGGGGTAAGGACTTCCCATTTCAATGTTTCCAAGAATGTCTTGACCACTTTTGCAACATGGGGTCGAGCATGCTGCAAAATCACTTTATCGTGTCTCTCGTTGTATTGCGGCCGTTTGTCTTTCAATGCTCGGTTCGCATCAATTGCGTTCGATACCGATCGCCTGTGATTGTTTCAGTCGGTTTTAACAGTTCATAATACACTACGCCGAGCTGGTACCACCAAATACAGAGCATGATCTTGGACGTCAAAATCACCGTTCTTGAAGCATTGAAACCACTCACGACACGTTTTTTCATTAATAGCGGCCTCATCATAAGTATTTGAGAGAATTCGATGAGCCTCAGCCGCAGATTTCTTCATATTGAAGCAAAAAATTAAAACCTCCTGCAAATGACGAGAATTTGGCTCGTAAACTGACATTTTC